GGGAGAAAGAAAGGGGAGAAGGGGGAGAAGAGGAAGAAGAAAGAGGAGGAGGGATGGTGGGGAGGAGGGAAGGAAGGAAGGAAGGAAAGAAGGACCCCTCTTGAGTCTTCTGGTTGGAGAAGCAGAAGGGATGTGGAGGACTAGCACCCCATCTTGGCTCCTCTCCCTTCTGCCTCAGTGGAGAGGAGAAGAGGGGCTGGACCTGTCTTTGTCAGTCTCGCAACAACTGCTGAGGTAAATCAGGGTACGTACCAGGTTGTAGAGAATGGTAACAGGCAGTACAGTTTCAGTGTCAGAGTCCTCTAGAGGCAGCACTGGTTAGGGTGGGAATCCTACACTGGTAGGATTGAACCGAAGTAGTTGATGATTATTAATCAACATATTACGAGATAGCATCAGGGCTGTCCCCCAGGACTGACTCAGTCTACAACTGTCATCATTCTTACAGCTTATCCGTGTCGGTAACTACATTTTCTGTTCCAGGCATTCCTGGCTTCTGACTTTACCCCTGATCTTTGAGAGCTCACCGTTCAGTGAATAGGAATGCACATCCCTCTTCCCACCGAATAAAAGTGAGATGATGCAGTCCTTGTATCATGATAATAATCTAATCCGGGTAGAAAGAATGAGCAAGTGTCAGCAGAATCAGAAGAAAAGCATTTCCCACTCCTCCCCACTGCTCTGGACAGCTCAAGGGTCGGACACCGTGCCCGACCTGTCCATCTTGCCATCAGCGCGGGTAACCCAGCCCTCAACCCCAATCCCAGCCTAGGCTGAGTCCTTCCAACTTCACCTCTGTCGACCGCACCACCTCCATCTGCACTGCCACAGCCCTGCAGCAGGCACTGTTGCCTCTGGGGCCACTGTCCCACTGTGCTCCTTGTCTCTGTTCTTGTCCCCATCACACGCTCACACTCACACGCACGCACACAAGGCTCTTGCACATCCACACCAAAGGCGACCCGTGGGTCTCCAGAGCCCTTTGCACAGGCTGGTCCTTCTGCCTGTGACTCTCCTCTCTTCTCTGCCCTCCCCTCTCCTGGGTGGCCCCTCTGGTTTCTGAAGGAAGCTCCTCTTCCCTTGGTGCCAGCTGTGGCCCAGAGCCCCTGCTCCTCTCCTGGAGACGCACTCATTACTCAGCACTGACAGCGGGGGGCGGGATCTCTACATCATTCGGTGAACACCAGAGGGCTGGGGCAGGCTGCTATGTTTCTAGCACTCACCAGATGTCTTGAATGAATGAACTGATAACAAATGAATGAAAATCTCTACTTCCTGCCTTAGTACCTATGAAATTCTACTGAGTCACTGCATATCCAGGTAAGCAGGTTGGCATGTCTAATTGCTCTGCCCGCAGGGAACTGCACCAGGGACCTGCTCTTCCTCTTGGAGTCCTCCCTTGGCTTTTCCTGTACACAAGCCCTTCCTGCTGGGCCTGGAATATTCTCCTTACGTCTGCTTCCTATATGGTGAGAGTGACCAACTCTATACCTCTTGGCTCTCGAAGGCCTGCTGCACATGCCTGACTTGATAGACCTGCGAAGGCCTTCTTCCCTCCAAAACTGTTTACCTATCATCAGTCCATGCCATTAAACACACTAGGTAAAATCTCTAGGATTTTAGCCTAATGCTTAAATTCTAGTTAAGATAAAAGCACTGGAAGAGACAAGATTGACTAGAATCCACATTACTGATGTTGATTTCTAGTTCTATTTCAGAATGTTGTCCACCTCCCAACACGCAAAATGTTGGGAATAAGGATAAGGAATCCTGGGGAAGTGGGTGAGGGAGGAGAATCAGCCAGTGCTTGGATGACGATCAGGGTAGTGGCCATGACACTGGCCATGAGGAATGATAAAGAAGTGATGACCTAATCTCAGAATTTCTAGGACTCCAGGAGATTTCCTGGCAAAATCAGGGTCTAGTCTTCATTTCCCACGGAGTGACAAAGGGCTTGTTCATAAGAATGAAGTGTACACTTTCTTGGATTGTGGTTTTCGGAGATGACTCAGTCATCTTCACAGATGTTCACAATATTGTCTCCCCAGTATCTCAGACTCACCTACTTGACACTTGTGGAGGTGCTGGTTTGGGTTTTAATCAGCGTTTCCAAGAAGAATAAGAACTCTTAATTGCTGGAGTTTTCTGAGTCTGACTGTTTCCAAGTCCTGGTCCAGAGCTGGGCCATGTGCTCTTTTAGTTCTTGTCAAAGAGCTCATCCCTGAAGCTCTGTGTCCTCCCTGCCACTAGCCTCCCCACAATCTTGGGAAACATGGGTGTAGATGGGATACAGACCTAAACTGCAGAGCGCTTCACTTTGGATTCAAGCCAGAAGGGAGCAGTTTTGAGCAAGAGTGACCCAAGACCCAGAAGCCATCGGGATAGTCTCAACCTAACCAGGGAACGGCTCAGGCCATGCTATCGGAGTCCAGACCTGATGTGACAGATACTAGCATGACAAATGCTCTCCAGGTCCTCGGGGAGTGAAGAAAACATAAATCACAAGAGGAGGCTGGCAGAACCAAAATGCCCTCGGGGAGGACAGATGTAGTAGGGAGAAGCAGCAGAAAGGGTACCGGACCTTGGGAAGGTCTGGATGCACCCATGGCCAGGTGACTCAAGGGGCTGGACAGACACACCTCTGGAGAAGGTGGAAGAGGGCAGGGGTTGCTGGTGCCGTCCCCGAGGGGAGGGATCACCTCTGCCCAAGATGGGGTGAAGTAAGTGAGTGACACACCTTGGCCGGAGCACAGCCCAGGTGCAGGGGACATTTCTGGTTCCTCAGCTCACACACTGGTGGGCTGGGAAAGCCCCGGGAAGCCCTCTGTGTGGCCACTTGGTGACATAGGCCCATGTGCTGAGTCCCAGACACCCCACACTGCAGAAACTCAGTCTGAGTCCTGCTTGGTTCCTCGCTCTCTGGGAATACAGGACTCAGTGCCCTCCTCCACATTCACCCCACTTTGCAAGCTCCTTGCCTCTGCCACTGTGCTTCAGGGCAATCAACCCCCAGGAAGTCCTGCAATCCCTTCCTCGGGAACTCAGGCACCTGTCACTTAGAGGCCATCAGACACCTCTTCTGCCTGGACTCTGGCCTCTCCACAAGTCGCCTTCAGCCTCCTTCCCTGGCCTGTCTCATCTCTCCAGCTCTCCAGGCCTGGAGCCAAGCACTGCTTCCACCTTAGCAACCATTAATCCCTTGTCTCCAAAATGGACCTCCTGCAAGTACCATGTAGTTCCCAGGGAGATCATACAGTGCTTAGACAGCCCGCTTGGCCAGCCCAAAAACGTGGCTCAGGAGACAGACCCTGTTCTCTCAGAACAGCCTCCCACACAGGCTCCCACGTCTCTGGGCACCTACACCCTACCCCTGTCCAGCCCAGGTCCCCAGTGCACCTTTCTTGTCTCTCCCATATCTGTGTCCTGTGGTTCTAAATTCTGTAGTGACAAGGTCAAAATGCCTTCTCTATTTTCTGCAACTGCTTTGGACATGGGCATTTCCCTTGTTAAAAATGTAAGCTCAGAGCTGGGAGTGATGGCACATGCTTATAATCCCAGCATTCTAGGAAGAAGAGATATAATTCTAAATTTTGGCCCAAATTGGGAAATTTAGCGAGACTCTATCTCATAGTAAAAAAAATAGAAAAGGGTTGGGGTTGTAGCTCAGTATGAAGGCTCTGGGTTCAATCTCCAGTAATGAAAAAAGAAAAGGAAAAAGTAAGCTCAGGATCTTGGCTGTGTGTCTGTGTTTCTGTCACCTCTGGCCCTCTTCAGTCGATGGGGAACACTTTAGACCTTGAGCCATTCCTGTATGGTCACCAGTGAGCAGGGACACCCTCAGCTACAGATCCTGTACACAGAGCTCCTTCCTGGGGGTACCACACCTCCTCTCAATGGGGCAAGGTGAAGGCAGCACGGGGAAGGCTGATCTCAGATGGGGGCTTCCCACTACACTGATGCCTTCATCTTTCCTGAATCGGAAGCCCCCTGGCCAGGTGCTAGGATGAAGGGGGAAGAAGAATGCAAGAAACCCTGCCTAGAAGCTCTGGTAAGTCTGCACACATCCTTGAGGTTGGACTGCAGAGCTGTGTGTTGCAGTTCCCGCCTCCCCTTGCCCTGTCCCAGACCCAGCTCGGGATCCCTGTGCCGAGAAAGTGCTCTGGGAAGGGTGGGCAGCTGGCTCCATCTCTTCCTACTTCACCCTGACATCATGGGTTCCCCCCTACACTCCTGGAAGGGTAAGAAGTGTGAGAAAATGTGCTCCTGGGGATGGACGTGAGGAGGAGGAGAACGTGGAGAGGGGAGAGCAGGGGGACAGATGCAGGCACAGACTGCAAGGCTGGTAGTGCCCAGGTAACAGGATGAGTGAGGGCCTTGAAAATAATGTGAACCCCAAAGTCTACAACGCAATCAGGGTGGAGCGCCTATATGTGCCCACACATACATAGGCATGCACACGCACGCAGACACACACACACGCCCCTAACCATTTCTCCAGCCAGGGCCTCTCATCATCCAGGCCCCACAAGCAGAGAAGGAGGGAAGGGACAGGAGGATACTCACATAAATCAGCCTGGCGGACATTTTTCATCCGGATGACCCTCACGGTCAACAAGTGGCATGGAGACAGCCCTTCCTGTGGATTGAGAGGACAGTAGACTCAGAGTTCAAGCTTCACCCCAAGGCCAGTTCCCCTGGGGAGACTCCAACTGTGACAGTTAATCTTGACTGTCAACTTGATTGGCTGGTGAGACACCTAGGAGATTAGTGAAACACCTCTGTGTGTATCTGGGTAGGGTCACAGAAGATTATATCTGGTGTCCTTTCTGGCCTCTGCTTCCCAGCCACCCTGAGGTGAGCAGATTTCTTCCACATGTGCTTCTGCCTTGACGTTTCTGCCTTGGAGGCAACTGACCATTGACTGAAACCTCTGAAACTGTGAGCCAAATTAACACCTTCTTCTTTTAAATTGTGTGCTCAGTATTTTTGTCCCAGCAATGGAAAGCTGGCTGATACAAACACCATGCATGCCTCCCTGACCACTTGCACTACAGCAACCTCCATGCTATCTTGTCCTTGTTTGTTGGGTATCTGTCTTCTCTCCTGCCTGGAAGATTCTGGAAGCTCCTAAGCTTGGGACCCTACTGGTTTTCATCTTCACACCTCTGCTGATATATAAAAGGTATTCAATAAGCATCTGTTAAATGAGTGAATAAACAGATGAGTGTCCCAACCCAAGTTCAAGAGGGAACAGTAACAACAAAGGAGTTCTGAGGTAGTCTCACTCTTCTTCCCCATTGAATAACTGTGTGTGTGTCACACACACACAGAGGGAGAGAGAGAGAGAGAGAGAGAGAGAGAGAGCGAGAGAGAAACTCTCTTGTTTGTCCAACATGGCAGCTTGCTCAGGAGGCAGAAACAGTGTGTCTGGAGGGTGACAGATACCTACTCACCAGGGTCCTCAGGCCAAGTGCCCCCTACCACTATCCTAGTGCTTAGCTCCAGCCCAGGACCTGCACCTTCCCCCAAGTCCTTTTGATCCCAAACTTCTCCCTCCTAGTGAACAATTTGCCTCTTTCTTCTTCCCTGCTATTGAGCCTTGTGAAGTCTGGATGACCTTCAATGGCTTCTCTTTCACAATGGCCAAAGCACAAGTCACCCTCAGTCTGATGACTAATTCCTGTCAGATTCCTCTGTTGGTACTGCTGACCCAAGGACCCTTCCTTTCCCATGGAGCTGTGCTAATGGCTGGGTGTGCAGACAGCCTGAGCCCTGCTCACTCGGTTCTGGTGTTTTCCCCTCTATCCTTCTCCTCTTTTTGTTTTGATCATGTCCTGAGAGCCTGCCATCATCTCAAACTCTAGCCAACAACCCTCCTTATGCCCACAGTGGGTGTAGTGGGAGTGGCTCTACCCCTGTGCGATTTTGTCCTCCTGGGGCCCTGAAAACACCTCTCTCTGTCTCCTTCTCACCAGCTCCTCTTTATCCAGCAAATTGCAAAGTCTCTATCTCTGTCACTGTCCACTCGTAGCCTGAGCCCACACAAATGCCACTGACTCCTCCAGTCTACCTTGTGCCAGCCTGCCTACCAGCATGCTGCCAGTGCTCTAGTGCACAGCCAGAACCACTTTGAGCCTTTATCAGAAGATGCAATTTTGGGGGCCAGGGATTTGGCTCAGTGGTTCTGCTGCCCGCCTTGCAAGCAACAAGGTCCCGAGTTCAATCCCCAGTACCACAAAAAACAAACAAACAAACAACAACATTAAAGAAGATGCATTTTTTCTCTGTTTAAATAGTACCAAAGTTTGTAGAAAAACACAAAGGTGGAAGAAAAAGTCCCCATAATGCCACCACTCAGAGACAATCATCATTACTTTGCTGTCTGTCCCTCCATACTTTCCTGGGGCTTGGTTCTAGCCAGCAACAACTGAAGGGTGCTAAGTTATATTGTCCATGAGTTAGACACACAATGTCTGCATCTCTTCCTCTTCTCTCACCAACAGCTGCCTAAAACCAGGACAAAATTCAGGCTGACAGTTACACACAGCTGGGGGATGCCTTTTGTGACTCAACTCCAGACATTTTGGTTTTCAGCCAGTAGCTTGCTTGGACCGCATTCTGTTGTGAGCCACACACCTGGTTTCTCTTCTGGCTCTGGACACAGTGGGCTTTTCATGTCTCACTTCCCACCTGGACAGAGAGGGTCCTGGTCTGGCCTGGTGAGGAGGCAGGAATCACCTTTCAGCAGGAGCACAGTCCAGGCAAGCTGGGTCCCACCGCCCGCTTTCTCAGAGGGCACCTGGAATCCCATCCGGAGCTGGAAAGGCCTCGGCTAGGCAGGGGTCTGTCCGGCCGGCTCTGAACTCAGGGCCCGGGGTCTTCTCAGCCGTCATGGCCTTTCTCTGTCTCCAGTAAGGGCTGCCCCGTGCCCAGCGTGGTTCTTTGAAGGTCTGCTCCAGAAGGGAAGGAGTAGTCACAGCTTTCCTTGCAACTTCACTCAAGGTCTCCAGCATTCATGGCAACACTCTGTCCTGTCGCCGAATCTCCATACCTGCCTACGGGGTGGGTTATTTTTCTGCTCTAACTCTGCAACTACAGCGTCAGTGTCAGCAGTCACCACTGAGGGTCTTCCATGCGGTGTGTGCTGTGTACATATGCTCTGTGGGCTATATTGCTTAATCCTTACCACTACACCAGGAAGCAGTTACTATTAGCCTTATTTTATGGACGGATAATCTGGGGCTCAGTCCTTGGACATGAGGCTGTCAGCTAGAATCAGAGGAACCTGAGTTTGAATTCAGTTCTATTTCTCAAACCTGTGCTCTGAAGCACTGCTATGCTCTCACACTTAAGTGACCCTTGGCAAACCTGAAGGCAAGTGTCACTTGCCCTCTCTCCCCTCTCCCTCGATTTTCATTTCTGAGAGCCAGTTTTCCTGCAGCCTTTTATTTCACCCAGGGTTCTTCCAAATCCCCCCTGATAACCCCAGATTCAGCAGTCTGCCTATTGGCTGTGTTCTTGTTGTCTGAGTCTCTACCGACACATTCTGTGATCACTGTTGTTTGTGGACATCCAGAGTGTGTCGCAGCATCAGGGTCCCTGAGGAAGTTCTTGTTTCTTAGCACACAGAGGCCTCCTTTGTGTCTCCCTTGAGACCCAGGCCATGCTTTCAAGCTCAGGAATTTTCAGGAGAGACCAGTTTCAAAGTACTCCAAATAGCGCTCTGACATTTTGGCAACAGAGACAGAGCTTGGAAGGGCTTTGAAGACACTGCAGAGGACCGTGCTGGGAAGAAGATCTAGGTATATTTCAATAAAAATGATCTTGTTGGTGTTTTGGGTTTTTTGTTTGTTTGTTTGTTTTGTTTGTTTTTTTGGGGGGGTTGAGAATATGTAGTTGAGACTGACCTGGAACTCCCTATGTAGTCCAGGCTGGTCTCGAATTCACAGTGATCCTCCTGCCTCAGCCTCCCAAGTGCTGGGATTATAGCCATGTGTCACCACATCCAGCTAATAAAAATGATCTTGAATTGGAAGGAATGTGTGCATTTTACTCCTGATATAATAGCTCCACAGGACTAGTGCTAGAGATGGCCAAAAATGCACAGCCCCAGAGACAACTGATCTACAATAGACAGCTGCAATAGAACCCAGCACAGTGTCTGCATATGAAGAATATGGAGTCCATAGACCAGTGAGACTGTGAAACCCAAGTTTATGAAGTCACTCATGCGGTAAGGGGCCACTACTCCAGGGACTCTTGGATAAGCCCATCCCTGAAGGAAAGATGCCGGGCTGGGATTAGATGTCAGGTGAAAGTTGGACTATTTAATAACAGGCATGAGCTGGTACCAAGCCACTTGGCTGCAGCCCTGGGGTAGGGGCTGAGATAATCCTTCATTTTGCAGGGCATGGGACAGATCCTGGGGTGAAGAGCAGGGCGCACACACACAGGGGCTTGGAAGTCACTGCAGAAACTTTGACAGATGGCCCAGAGGCCTATTCAGCCACTGGAACCATCTGTCCATGGTGCCAGGAAGGAGGGGCAGGGCAGCAGTTCCCTGGGAAGCCATGTGGGAGAACCCCACTGCTCAGGCTGCAGACACACACAGCCCCAGTCTCCTGCCTGGCCTTCACCTCCAAGCTTGACTTCCCCGTGAGACCTGCTCAGGACTGAGGGCCTTGTCAGTTCACATGGAAAAGCAGCAGCCCCTAGAGTCTCAGGACCGGCTGTTATGAAATCCAGTGCTGCCCCTTCCCAGGCCCAGCTCTAGAGCTATGACCCCTGGTGAGATGGGGGTGGGGAACAAGAGTGATCCTTCCCCTTGCATGCCTGGCTGTGCCTCACACTGGGTGCTAACTCTGCAGGCAGCCTCGGAGGAAGGTAATATCACCTGCTTCAGCGGAGAGGAGACCACGTTCAGGAGATTACATCTCACACGGGCTGGCACAGGTGGAAGCTGCAGAGTCACGCTCTGACCCAGGTGTGGGTCTCATCCATCTGCCCTGCCGGACCAACACTGGCTTGCTCTGGGTCATGAACTAGACTGGCTTATGGCAGAGGCAGGAATAAATCCCTCCGCTCCCAGTCAGGCCTCTCCCTATACCCAAGAGGACAGCTCTTACTACAGATTGTTCCAAAGAATGGTTAGTTACAGATGGGCTCCAGGGTCTGGCTTCTGGCTAGCAGGGGTTGAGGGGTGAGGTCTGACTACCAGGTCTCAGAATTGGGGGATCGGATGCCCACCCAGGCCAGGCATTTCCTCACCAGCTCATCCCATGAGGTGGAGGTGCCCGGAGAGGGAAGACAGCTGTCCTCCTCAGGAAATCTCAGGGCAGGTGTGGCAGGTGACACCACCTCCTCCTCCTTAGAGAGCGGGGCATAGCCACCAGCTCTCTACAGCCCTGTGCCAGAACTCAGATGACCCTGGTGACATCTTCCTGAATACATGAGCCCTCTCTCCGAGGAGATCTTTGGGATGGGGATGTCTGGGACCCTGGAACAGGTCCCAATCAGCCAGAGCAATGCCCCAGACTAGAGGTCACCTGGGAGGGGCCTCTGTGGCTGTTTTACTTTCTATTACTCAAGCTGAGTGAGTAGTCAAGGCAAGAAGTCCTAGTACCAACTCACATGGCC